ACTCTAATATTTATACATGTTTTATGAAATTAATTTCACAATTTTAACGCATATATTATGTAAGTGGTAACGTAATTGCTTCTTGTATTGTATCAATAATCTGTTCGTTCTGACATATTTTGTGCGTTTTAAGGACATAATTGTCAATTTGTCACGGCTACTATGTTCCGTGTCACGTGTGTTCTGTTGCCGGATCCGCTGAAAACCAGCGTCGTAGCACCATAAGTGAGACGACAATAAGCTGAGTGGGACACGGTTTCCTTGGCAGCACAGCACACACGCGTTGTACTCTTCTATATATTTGTAGTTAATACTATTTTTATTGTTATTATTACAAAATGCATGTGTACTGTGTTGTCTACTTAAGGAATAAATGTTTTCTATTCTATTCTATTCTATTCTAAAATTACGAGCACATGGGACTTGTCAATTTATGTCTCAGGGTGATGGACGCAGTCACAGCGAATAGCATTACAACTGTTATGGACACGCGTGTCGCTTACCACCAGGCCTACGACATGTTCGTCCCGTCACTTGGTATTATAATAAAATAAAATATAGACGTAACAGGTTACAGCTAGAGCAATAGAAACAGTAAAATTGCGAATATTTTTATTTTGTATAATTTACATAGAAAATCAAATACAAAAGGGCGCTTTTTTATTTTTTATAACCGTAAACATGCATATAAAATATTAATACTGTCACGATTAGGCATTGACTTACAAATAAATGGACGACGGGTCTAATACAAAAACCACGAAAAAAATGTCCCAAGTCAACCTATTCGAAATTTAAATTGTAATGTCATCGCAGTATCGCGCTGTCAGTAGAACAAATGAAGACTAAAGCGGAGTTTGGCGCTCTGTATACGATTTTAGCTCCTTACAAGTGCGGACACTTTTTAGCGCGGACCCGACGTCCATATAATTGTAAGTCAATGCGATTAGGCAACAATAGCAGAGGTGATTTGGTCGCTCATGAGACCACATAAATTCTTTCCGCGCTCAACGCGGATGTAACCTTTCTCGCCAAAACCTCCCCAAGAGTTCTTGAACCGCCAAAACTTTATATTGTCCTCTGAAAAAGAAATATTTTTTATTTTGGTACATATACATCATTGACTTACAAATAAATGGACGACGGGTCTAATACAAAAACTACGAAAAAAATGTCCCATGTAGTGACATGTAAAGGAATATGAAAAAGCTAACACGTTGAATTTAAATTGTAATGTCATCGCAGTATCGCGCTGTCAGTCGAACAAATGAAGACTAAAGCGGAGTTTGACGCTCTGTATACGATTTTAACGCCTTACAAGTTCGGACACTTTTTAGCGCGGACCCGACGTCCATATAATTGTAAGTCAATGATATACGTAATAATTTTCTTGTTATAAACATTATATTTTTTTAATTTCTTGTCACTAAGTATTGATGCTATCTCAGCTCATTTTTCATTCAATTTTTTCTTCTACTAATACGACTCATTTTGCTTGGGTCGAGCGTCAGGGCTACTGGCTTTCAGAATTCAATTATTTACAAACGAAATTGAAGCCCCTTTGAAAAATATATGTATACTATACGTGTTCTGTTTAGTTCAGTTCATATTAACAAATCAATAGTACATGTAGTCAGTGTATACTCTCAATTTTAATATACATTTTTTCCAAAGTGACTGATTTAACACTTTCACTTTTATGCGGAATTAACCAAAGCTATTTAATTTTGAGTTAGTATAGACTCTTAAGTGAGTCGGTGACATAAATAAATATTGTATCCAACCGGATGGTTGGTATAAAGAAAATTTTATGAATTTATACATATGAGTAAACACCTTTAACCTTGAACTTGTATGTGTAAAAATGAATTTTATTTATTTATCGTAAAATTTATCTTACATTGCGTCACTGGGTGGTATAGCGGGCGAGTCCCCGCGCCTCTCGTTCCCCCCGTGGCGTGTCGCGAGTGTGGACAAGCATTATTTATTTAAAGGACCTAAGGCTGCTTTTAGAGCAGTGCGGATTTATCTGCGAACCGTCCGTCCGTGCGAGCTTAGGAGGTTTGCGAACTGCTCCGTACGGAACGCGTTCCACGTGATCTCCGCACAAGCCACCCGTGAATTCATTGTAGGCGTCTGTCTTCCGTGAATATCCGCACTAAATTAAGTACTCGATTCAGAGCATTGGGGATTCTAAACATGCGAATGGACCGCGTGCGGGCAGCTGTGAAACCAGCCTAATGTCTAAGTTAAAGAGTTCGTCCAGGGTCGTGGTGGGGGGGCTCTAGTAGCCGTGGTCGATTTCATCCCACGGTGAAGCTAAGAGGAACCCACGGGGCCGGCCGATGGTGGTAGGCTGGCCCGAGGAGGAGGGCGTTCCGCGCGGGACTCATTTGGTCAGCGGGACCGCGCGGATGCGCGTGGAGGAGGGTCGCGGGGGGAGAGACGTGTCGGTGTGTCGTTGCCGCTCGTCCTGTCCTCCGCGACCCTGGCGGGGCTGCACCGCTTTCGACGATGCAGTAGCGGCGAGGCCGCGGGGGAAGAGACGTGTCGGTGTGTCGTTGCCGCTCGTCCTATCCTCCGCGGCCGTATGGGCGCTCCAAGGGGCTCTCTTCGGAGAGTCCGCGCGGAAGCGTGTTAGGTGTTGCGGCGGAGCCTGTCATCAGATCCGCCGCGGGGGCTGGGGGAGCAGCCACTGAACTTCACAGTTGAGTGGATGCTGTCCTGGCCCCCCATGGCCCCTTGGTAGCAGACTCGGGGGAGTTCGCTGCCCACCATAAAGGGGCCCGGGATGGAAGGCTCGTCTGGTGTTCGGCGAGCCGCACATTCGGAGTCGGGGGACCGATGTGTCTCCCTTCTCGGGGAGGGGCTGCGCAGGGCGCGGCCAGCCGCTGGTGGGGGCGCGGACGAGTGCTACAGCGTACCCGTACCCCCACCTACAGCGGAGAGGAGGAACACTCCGGGGGTTTAGTGCGGTCGGGCTGCTCCCCTTCAGGGTTCAGCCCAGTCCCACATAACACCGGCTCTGCCCCCGCGGAGCCGGGGTATCTGTAAGCAGTTTCCCCCGGATTAACAAAAAAAAAAAAGGGTAGTACTGCCAGCCGATTTCTGCCGCCCAGTAATGTATACTGCAACACAGTAATGTCAGCATTACTGTGTTCCGATTTTGAAGGGTGCTGGTGAAATTACAGGCACATGGGACTTGTCAACTTATGTCTCAGGCATGTAGCTTACTGTTATTTATGAAGTTCCGGAATACTTTTAATACTGTATCGAATATAGTTTTCAGTCTGGCAATAAACTACGCACAAGCAACACGTCTTTTATTTAGCAGTGGCGACAAGGCGTACAATTTATTCGTCCCGTAACTTGATGTTATAAAAAAAAATTATTTAGTGCTAAATTAACTTAAGTTTCTTTAATAGGGCCATGAGTTATACGTATAATATTCCAAACTCACCAACGCCATAGCCCACCAGAAGCACACCATGATTGCCGGTCTTAAACGAACATGATCGTAAGATACCACCTAGATATGCCTGCAAATCAGTAGAATCAACGCCTGGAAATTGTTAAATAATTTAAGCAATTCGTTAAAGAAAATATAGGTAATAGTAGGTTGCGCATAGTGCAGAAAAATAGTCAACTGTCTATTGACGATGTGATTGCAATTAGTTTATAAAATTGTATTTCGCTGTGCCAGTGTTACAAGCATTGACTTACAAATAAATGGACGACGGGTCTAATACAAAAACCACGAAAAAAATGTCCCAAGTCAACCTATTCGAAATTTAAATTGTTATGTCATCGCAGTATCGCGCTGTCCGTAGAACAAATGAAGACTAAAGCGGAGTGTCGCGCTCTGTATACGATTTTAGCGCCTTACAAGTGCGGACACTTTTTAGCGCGGACCCGACGTCCATATAATTGTAAGTCAATGGTTACAAGCCTTTAAATATTTTTCCTTAGCATAAGCACGATAGCCCACTGCATCCGATTCGTTTTCGTTCCAAATCCGAGAAAATAAGAAATATCTCTTTTACGCCTAGAGATAAAATTGTCCCTGTGACATTTCGGAGCGTCATATTTCGCACTCTGAACTGATACGAATCCGACGTAGTGTGCAAATGCTCTTAAGTTACGCCTATCCCGTAGAAAATTTATTATTGTATTAGTAAAAAAAATTTTGAACAAGAAGAGAAGCAAGATTTTACTATTTTGAAAATCCTACATCACACTTCGTTACCATATTTCTGAAATAGTCTTTTAAAGTTTTATAAATATACTCGTATGTGTTTTATGATTCTTTTTTATTGCATAAGTAGACCAAACTTTATGATGCCATGCAGACGCCATACTGGAACTTTTATAAAAATATTGAGAAATATTCAAGAATTTATCCATGCCGTACAGAGGTACGGAAACAGGCGAACACATGCGCTTCTCATGCTCTGCTAAAATTCTTAAGCCCTATCTGGGGTCGCTGTAGTCAAATGAAAGACACTTTGGATGTTTATTTTTAAGTCGGCCTTGGTTTAATGTGAATTTTCTTGAAAGTTATTTTACTCACCATTTAACTGCTAAATAAAACAAGTTAAACCTGGCGTTTCATTCCTACTTTACATACCTACAGCCAGTGGACCTCGATTGTATAGTACTTTCACCAAATCATCCTCACTTGTGAGATTATATGTTTCGCAACCAATCACTTTAGCCTGTATGTCACTTGCATTGAATGAGCATTTACCCTGAATGCCATTGTATGGGTAGTCCTTCAGACTCATTTGTCCACCAACTCTCTTTATTTCCCTGAAACCAAATCTTATTTTACCAATCAAAGCGACACTATATTAAAACACCATTATTGTACAAAAAACCACTTTCTTTCAAATATCATATTAATACCGAAAAGACGTCAGCGAACATGTCGAACCAATTATTATATTAAAATCAAGTTTATTTTTCTTAAGTACAACACATTCTAAATTAAATTAAAGTCTCTTCTGATAAATGGGTGATACTAGTGTATGAGACTTCATGGACTCTCCTATAAGATGATGTGAAATAAGTGATAAACCCTTCAACTCTTTCATGACGCAATGTGTCTATTTTAACGATCTTTAGTGTTCTGTTTTTGTTAGTTGTTCGAGAGTACCTACTATTAATTTGCTACACCCTAACGGGGTACGTTTGTACTTAGTTACATATTTAATGTACCTGTACTAATATTGTTTGCAATAAATAAATGAATGAATAAATTTACAAGTCCAATTTCTTCCTTTTGTAGCTTGTAAGTGTACTAACTAAAATGGACTAAATTATCTGCAATAAATTATTTTTATTTTTATTTACTACTTTTTATTTATTTTATTACTCAGAGTGCGATCTGTTAAATATTACAAAGAACTTACATTATAGCTTTTATCATATCACCACCATGGCAGCCAGCATTTGTCTTGTCACAGTCTACTATCTGCTGTTCTGAGAGTTCCACCAGTTTACCGTATTTCTTTGCATATTGACCTTCTATATTGCCTGTACAATGATAAAAATGGCTACATATTGATTAACTACTTAGATATTGTAATTTTTAATGAAATAATTTAATATTGAAGAGGCCGGGAAGTAAGGGATTGTTGGATGAGTATGAATTACAAAAACGAACCCCAGGAAGGCCTTGTATTAATACGAGTCAAGCAATCCCCGTCCCGCCGAGCCACGTATAGTATTTTTCTCAAACAATGTGAGGAAACAATAAAATACTAAAGAGAGGAAAATGTTTAATATAAAAAGAAAAGAATATTACAATTATTTTTTTTTTACTTTTAAATTTTCCTTTATTATTTTTCCAAGCACGTTAATAGTAGTTTTCTAAACTTGTTTGACTGTGTATCTATTATACTATATTTTCGTTATCGCTCTTCCCACTAGCACTCATTTTCGCTACCAAAATACAAAAATGACGAAAAAGCAAAAGAATATCAAAACACTAGTTTAAATGTAACCGCCATTTTCTTTTCTTTTTGAGTAGGCGGTACATATACTCACATTACAAATAATAGCCAGATGGAGCGCGCCGTACACGAAAGTGAAGCCAATAAAGCAAATACAAATTCAAAAGCGAATACAAACTCACGTCTGTACTAAGCTTAGCGTCGCACTGTTTGCACGTCACGAGTGGTTAATTGTTTTATGTCTAAAAATGCCGTCTTGTGTCTTTAAACATTGTAAAAGTTGTTCCCAAAAACAAAAAAAAGAAAAAGATAGAATATCTTTTCACAGGGAATTATTGTTAATTTAACTGTTTTGTAATTTATTTACCCGATATTTTTTGAAATTCCCTCGGAACACAAAACCTCGACATAAACTCGTATGGGTTGCCAGTTTATATCGAAATGAGTTCCCTTAAATTAGGTAAACATGCATGGGTGATAGGATATCGAATAAATTATACTTTTATATTGCAATTAAATAATGCATGCATATACACACATAATGGTCCAATTACAACGATCCAAAACAGTTTTTTTAGGTAATTCAGATCTACCTAATTTATTTTCAAACCAATCTCTAATCGCCATTATATAACTATATAAAAGAAAATGTTTAAAAACAGCTAAAATTTTATCCCTATACAGAGAACAGATACAGAGAACTTTCATTGTTATGTGCACATGTCATAAACAGAGTGATTTTGTAAGAAAACGCGTCAATTTAATAAAAAAAAAATTATAATGCATACATAAGTTCACATGTTCTAAAGAGTTTCATTCGGAACCAAACAATTTTTGCCAAATTAGAACATAATGGTCAATGCTAAGGAATTGATTGCTAAGTTAATTTAATAAAAAAAAAAATAGAAAAGTATTTGATGGTGAGATTGCGCTACATTACTAAAAACCGACCTCAAAAGTACGTGGAATTACAATAATTAAATCAAACAGCCTATTGCTGTCCACTGCTGGACATTAGCCTCCCCAAGTGTACGCCATAGTGCCCGATCACCCGTTTTCCGCATCCAACCACTACCCGCGACCTTTTTCAGATCGTCGGTCCATCTTGCAGGGGGACGAGACGTGACGTGGTCTCCACTCGAGAACCCGTCTACTCCATCGCTCATCGGTTCTGCGACAGATGTAGCCAGCCCACTGTCACTTCAGCTTGCTACTTTTCTGGACGACGTCCGCAACTTTAGTCTTATGCAGGATAACTTCGTTCCGGACTTTGTCCCTTAACGAGATACCCAGCATAGACCTTTCCATAGCTCGCTGAACGACGTGTAGTCTGTGAGCCATTTTCACCGTCATATTCCACGTGTCGGCTCCGTAAGTCATAACCGGTAGGTTTGCCCGAAGTAGACATATTCCCGGACAACTTCGAGCGTTTCGCCATTAATCGAAATCGGCTCCGGGATGACGAGCTCATTGAACAAGACTTTAGTCTTGTCCAAATTCATCCGAAGACCGACCGATAATGAGGCACCATTAAGGCTGTTCAGTATTTTCTGCAGATCCTGCAGCGATGTCGTCGACAAAGCGAAGGTGTGTGAGATTTTCGCCATTGACATTTATGCCCAAGCCGGTCCAATCAAGTGTCTTGAAGATGTCCTCCAGAGCGTTTGAGAACACTTTCGGAGAGATATCATCTCCCTGACTCACGCCTCTGTGCAACTGGATTAGTCTTATCTTGTTGCTTTAGATTTGGATGGACATCGTGGCCTTGCTGTACAGATTTTTCAGCACCTCTACGTACCACCAATTGACTTGGCATCGCTGCAAGGATTCCAGAACAGCCCAGGTTTCGATGGAGTGGAAGGTTTTCTCGTAGTCCACAAATGCTAGACACAGTCATTGATTATATTTTTCGGATTTCTGTATAACCTGCCGAACAGTGTGTATGTGATCCACGGTGCTATAGCTTTTTCAAAACCCTGCCTAAAACATATATTTACCAAGTTTTATTGAAATCGGTTACAGAAAAGTGCGCAATCCCGGATTCATCTCCTAGTTCGCCACTATACGGGACTAGACATAGGAGATAATAAAAACCGGTTTTCACTGCTCCAAGTATATTGAGAGAGAAAAACGCCTTGAAATGGAGAATAGCAAAATCAACCATTAAAATAATTGCTCCTTATAATAAAATTTAGGCGCTATTTATAAAAATGAAACTTCATGCGTGAACAGCGACCTATAAGGGTAGATGATTTTCTTCAAAACGAAATGAGACCTTTGGAGATACCCTCTTTCCAACAAAAAAAGAATCATGAAAATCGGCTCGCAAATACCGGAGTTATACTACGCGTACTATACACACAAAAAAATCATACAGTCGAATTGAGAACCTCCTCCTTTTTTGGAAGTCGGTTAAAAATGTATACAAAATAAAGATTAAGATATCGAGTTTGTAGGTTTTCGCGATTGTTACACATAGGAAATGAAACTATTTTTCCGGATTTAAATCGCGTATATTTGTTTTTTCAAACAAACTGACGTTTCGGACCCTTTGCAGGTCCCATGGTCACGGTTGACTGAGGTGGTACAGTCTTCAACCAATTATGTCTAATATTAATGCAAGCCACCCTATTTTTTAGTATAGTTACAATAGTTATTAATTAAATACCTTATTTTTAATTTTACAAAGAAAACTTTCCAATTTACGCTACATTAAATTTTACGAATTATTTTATTGAATGAATTTTTATTAAGTTCAATTTATTATTAGTTAATAATAGAAATTAGAATAAATTAAAACATATTAATTAGTACTGTAGTCTTATGTCTGTTTGAGATTTTACATTAGAGGAAATACTGGATCCCAAACTGGTGGTTCGGAGAAACCATCTTCCCTGTTAAAATTAGGGTGTTTTTGAGGCCATTGAAATTAAAAAAAATTATGTGACCGTGACCATGGGACCTGTAAAAGGCCCGAAACGTCGGTTTGTTTGAAAAAACAAATATACGCGATTTAAATCCGGAAAAATAGTTCCATTTCCTAAAGATTTAAGATATTATGTAACTGTGTGTAATAAATATTTTGACTATCAAAGTTTTCCAATTTTTTAATTTCTTAGTACAGCTTATTTGTTTGTTATCCTAATACCACTTCAGTACTTATATTGCAAAATAACGTTTCCAATTTGTAACAGTATTATACAAAGCAACAGAAAAAAATGCGGGAGTTTTTTCGGAACATCTGGCAATCTTACACGCACACAAAAGCGCATGGCCTTACAGTGCCCCTCCTAGTTGTCACGCACACAATAAATGAAAAGTGGCTGCACTTCGTTTGTTGCGTATGCTCCATCTACCTATTGTTTTGTAATCAACGTACTGATCGGTATTTTTAATTCTCGCAACTATGAACACTGGGCATTTGACTGAATGAGTTTTTTATTTTGCCTGTTTCATTGTTAGTAGACTTTAAGAGTTTCGAGACACTTCTCGCCTCTGTCCACTGACAGTAATAGATTTTCATGCTTACTTGCCTTGGCCGGAAAGAAGTCGCACGGTCTATAAACAACAAACTTTCCGTCTTCGTTTTTTGAAAGTAATGCAAGCATTTCCGTGCATTTTTGAGAAAATATACCACGGCATGGTACATAGCCGAGTAAAGAGAGAAGAGAGACGTGGACTTTACGTGTTCATGGACATTAAGAAGCACACAGAATAGGAATACATAGAGAAACACAACAAAATTTACTTAATGTTGTCGTACCTGTTGCAGAGAAGGCATAGCAATCGCCGCACATTTGTTGCTTGACAGGAGTGACAACGGAACCTTGCAGTTGCCAGTCATATGCTTCCGGTGGGTTTACCGCTGGTGCTCTGGTGTGACTCGTGCAATTGCTGTCGGTCATACGACGGAAGCCGCCTTCCATACGACGGAAACCGCCTCTTATCTTTTGTAACTCTTCTCTGGTTAAGTCTGAATGTTCATGAATACCTACAGAAAAAGTTAAAAATGAATTGAGGTAGTGCACTAAATTTAGTACACTAAATGCATGATTTGCATTAGTGTCCATAAAATTAAAAATTAGTAAAGAATGGCAACTCAAAATGGCAGCCCATGTATATGATAAACGTAACCAAAACCTATTTCAAAAATACCAACTCTTTAAAAGGTAACTACATCAGTATCATTGTACAAAATATTTATTTGTACACAACGTTTGATGTATTTATGGAGATTTAAGTATAACGACTTACCAAATTTAGCATGCGATTGCTCCATATTCATCTTGTTATACGCCTTCAGTGACTCTTTAAAGACTTCGAATTTTCTGGCCTTTACATCTTCATTTGCGTATTCTTTTCCGTATTCCTGGATAAAGGCTTCAAAATATTCCTCAGCTTTTTCTAAATCGTACTGAAAGTCTGGTATGGCTATAACCGCCACAACAGCCAATAGTAAGATAAAAGTAAATGTGGCCATGTTGTAATTCATTTGATGATATTTGGTAGGAGTACTCCAGGGAGTGCTTTATATACTCATTATGTCATTGTTCGTCATTGTAATACACGTGTTGGTTTATTTAAATATTTAGAAAAATTCCATATTTAAGTACTTCGTTAATACACGGGTAATAAATTGTTGAAATGATGTTATGTTAAAGTGAAATATATAAGAACGTCGTCATAGGTCCATTTATATGTCCCATGAAGGTTTAGAGTCTAAACTTTAGACCATAGTCCGCCAAGCTGGTTCAATGCGGGTTGGGGACTTCACATGTTTTCCGTGTGTTGTGAACCTTTTTTAGACGTACTGGTTTCATCACGTTTTTCTTCACCGGAGTAACGTAGGAACAGTTTTTTAATTTGAAAAGGACTAACTACTTTGCTTCAACTCTTAAGGACGTTACTATAATAGGAAGGGGGCCCATAGCGGGCACCGTAAGGTTAAGCGAAAGAAAAAGGTGTATTAATACAAAGGCAAATAAAACTATTATTGCTATTAGATGCTAAATTTATAGTACTTTGATGGTCAGTGTTTAAATTTTTCATATGTCTCAAAAATATGGAACTGGAACCCAAATAGGAAACCTTTTCGAATGCTCGCTTTGCCCGAGGGGGTAGCCTAAAGCGGGCTTGGACATCAGGGCAAAAGGGGCATGCCTTGGGTAAAGCGAGCATGCATTATTTGTTATTATCGTTATGAAAATAATTGAAAAATATATAGGAATATTTTGATTAAAACACATTAAACTATAAGAATCTTTATTGCAAATTAAAAAAATACTGCTTTTTTTTCTGTAAGTAATAATTAAACTTTATCAAAAATCAACACTATTTAAAAACAATATTATCATTAATCAGTCATCATTAGGAACGTTACAGTTTTATCGTCTTATATAGAGGTAGAATAACGCTTTTGAACATTTAACAAAAAATAAACTCTCTTTTAGAATAATCTACGGGTTTCATTAATGAAATGTTATTCAAATAAAAATAATCTACTAACAACAAAAAATTAAAACAATTTCAAACTAAATAAACTTCAATCTTATCAAACTTTACAACTTCAACTATCTTTTTAATCAGTCGTCATTAGAAATTAACACAGTTATGTCAATTGTTCACATTGCTAATCAAAGAAGTTAAATGTTGTGACAAATGTCGCAAAAAAATGCCCCCATTCCGGAATATGATGTACATGCATCATGAGCCCACATTTTACAATCGTCGCACTGGATCCAGTCTTCGGTGGGAGGATGTACATATAGCTCGTTGCATACAAGACATGGGTATGAACTATTTTCCTTTTGTGAATACGGTATTTTTTTGGGTTTTACATTTTGATTTTTTGATGTTTGTTTTTTATTTTTTAGAACCCTTTTAAGATTCTTCGTAGTCCCTTTACACTTTTCTTTTCGAAGATTCAATTTCTTCGATGTTTTATTTCTTTGCTCGTCTTTAATTGGTGTACTCGTTAAAATTTCAGCTTTTTGAGTTTTCCTCCGCCTGTTTGTTTTGTTTGGACCCACTTTTGGTAGTGGTCTAATAACCATAGGCGTAAAATGTTCCTTACTAGTGCTCGGCCCATTATCTAAATCCAAAGTAGTAACGGTACCACTACTGACATTTGAAGGGACGCATTTAACAGGTGTCATTGGTGTTTCTTGTATCCAAGTATCCAATATAGGAACAACATTGGTGGTAGAGGATCCGGGTAGTTCATCCAAAGTAAAAGCATCTGCGATGGCTACGTTTACAAGTGGTCCTCCCGAGAGAGCAGAATCTGTCGTGGGAAAGTCTGCTGGTTGAGATAAAGTCATATGTTGGGATTGTATAATCTGGTCAATTATAGAAGGAGATGGTGCCCTATCAGGGTCCGTTACTTCTGACTGCGATTTTTCAATTTGAACATTTTCTGGGCTTAATGGTTTTTCTGTGACCCTTGCTGGTTCAAAATCAGACTCATCAAAAATATATCTGTCTGTTGGAAAAAGTCCTGTAGTTTTGAAACCTTTAATTGCATTTTGAGCTGTAGCAGCTTTCATATAGGCACTCGAGAAGAGACTTGCAATATCATTTTGGTTAATGATTCGCCCAGCATGAGTTTTTTGGAACGTAGCAACTGCCTGTTCGAAGTATGTTTTCAAAGGTCCATACACACAGTAGTCTAAGGGTTGTATACGGTGTGTGGTATGGGGCGCCAAAGAAATAAAGATGACATTATTCCCAGAGGCCAATTCCAACGCTGGTAAATACTTGTGGGATTCATGATTATCCAACACAAGAATTATTTGTTTGTCTGATGTTGGTCGGACAGTCTCAATAAAAAATCTCAGCCATTCTAAGAATGCAGGTCCATTAATCCACCCATTATCAGTACAGGTACCATTTTAAGATCGAATCTCCTCTTGATTCCTATGGGGAGCCCAGTGCTTAGACTTGTCATGTCAAGCAACCTACGTATGTATTTGGTAAGGATGTTTTACTTGCAATTAAAAATATGAAACGAGTCCAGGGCATGACGGTCTCAGCATTGAGCACTTACAGCACGCAGGCCCATACATACGAGTATATAGACTTTTGTCTATGTCGTTCACTTGCTGCCTGAGACACACATACTTACAGACAGAGCTGAGACACATTATTAGTGGAGATGATGACGATGTTGAAAGGGAGTGCAGGGCGTTGTCGATACGCGGTAACATGTTGGTTCAGAGGTTTCCAAGGTGCTCTGTAAATGTAAAAATAAGTCTTTTCAGGGCTTACTGCCAGAATTTTTATACAGGTGCACTGTGGACCAACTTCACACAGCGAGCGTACAACGCCTTACGTGTGATACGTGTAATGTATGTACAATAACATCTTTAGGGTTCTGTTGAGGCTTCCTCGCTTTTGCAGCGCCTCTGGCATGTTTGCGGATACGCATCCGCTGATGTTGATGATTTTTACGCAATCATATGCAAAAAAAGTACGTCACAGATGTTGGGATTGTGTGGGAGCATCAATAATGCTGATATCAAGGAGAATGGACTCTGCTGTTTTCCGTAGGTTCACCGAGTTGCACGTGAATATATAATAACGCGTTTATAATAATAATGTAATAATGTAATTTAATTTAATGTATTGCAATTGTTCTTCTTGTGTCTAATAACTTAGTTTATAAGAATGTTACTAACAAACAGGGAATAATTGGTCTGAGAAGTCTCACAAATTAGTTGAGGACCTCATACAGGGTTTTTGTGACCAGGGCGCTTTTTTTTCCTTGAAATAGTTCAACTTGTTCAATAACGGCCAGCTTTCTTTGTACTGAATTTGTATATATTTGTATGTATTGTTTTTGTTAATATAACTCCTTATTGAAAACGAGTTACACAGTACATATTCAAGTAACTCAGAACGTCCAGATTCCACGGATTAAGAACCACAATGCTATTAAATTTTCTGTAAGGTGTTAAGTAACTCAATGAATGCGATCGGTTTTGAAATTTCTTCGTAAAAATTTGAGAAAATATGATACATTTTTGGTATTAACTGTTACGGTTGTTTACAAGACACATAACGAAGTTTTAGGGAATCTATACACTCATTATTATAAACAGTCTACATATTATTATAGACGCCCTAAACTGCCCTTGCAACGAAAAAAGGCACAACTATGCGTACTTTATACAGCAGTTGTGCTTTTTTTCGTTCTGGGGGCAGTATAAAACGCGAAAAAGTACAGCTGTCACATACATACACTTAAAATAGATATCTCTGGTCTTTAAAGTTGTTCGTATTTATAAATAAATGAAATTGACTGTTACTTTTAAAAAGTAACCACAAACGTATTGTCCAAGCCGCTATACAACGGATACGGCATGACGCAACGGAAATTTTAATCAAGTAAATATCTCGGTTCCGTATTCCTCGTAAGCCTTTGGTCTCACATTTTTAAAATATTACGTAGTAGAACTAATTTGGGAACTCATTCCCCAGTGAATACAATCCGTATGGTATATGGGGAGTTCTGTTGTCGAGTGCCAGATTTTGATATTTACAATAATTCATTGTCTTTATTTAGACATCGTGTATTGCAATCGTTATCAGGTAATTTAAAAGTAATATAATGTAATATAAGAACCATGTTTTCACACCGTATAAAAACAGTGTATACCTATCCTCAATTTTACTACATATATATTTAGTAGCAGTAGAACTCCTTGTGAAAAAGTTCGTCCAGGGTAGTATAGTACTTTACCTATTTCTGCCGCCAAGCAGTAATGTCAGCATTACTGTGTTCCGGTTTTGAAGGATAAGGGTGCTGGTGAAATTACAGGCCCATGGGACTTGTCAACTTATGTCTCAGGGTGACGAGCGCAGTGGTAGTGCCCCTCAGATTTTTGCAATATAACCGCTCACGCGATACATGCAGCCGTAGACGCATACCACACCTGGAGGTGCCGGTGATGATTTTATACCGATTTATCGGATATCGAAGTTATAACAGGTAAAAGAACTAATATTAATTGCTATTTCGGTAACTACTCCACCAAACCATAAAGTTTTTAATGCCTGGGTCTGTCATTTAAAAAAAATAAACAACTTCAAAAATACGTCACGACAATCGTGTGTGTTATTGTTTAGGCTGGTGATTTCGGTGTTTATTTATTGAAAACATACCGTAAGTAGCGTTTTTTAAGTTTACCCTGAATATAAATGTTTATAAACTATACTTGAAGGAGTAATTTCATGGTAAACGTTCGAACCACTCAAACGGAATATTATCATATTTATCCAAGAACACCAAAAATTTTATTAGTGCTTTTTAAGTGCAGGATTTGCGGTGTATTACTGCATTTTATTTGAGATGTTTTTGTTGGTAGTACGGAGGGTATTTATCTAGCAATGCAGAATAATAATTTTTATTTATAAACACTTGTATTTAAACTGAATGCTTTTCTAATTTGCGAAACCAAATACCCGCCATTTTGCGGCAGGAGGAGCGCATCGCGTGAGCGGTTATAAAAATTAAAT